TATATATATATATATTAAATTAATATTATTGATATTATAACAAAAATTTTATATAAATATTAAAAAAAAATTTAGATTTTACTGATGTAAATAAATAAAAATTGAATGGTATGTATGAACATGTAGAAAGAAATATTCTCATTTCCTAATAAAACATCTCACTCGTCGTAGTCATCATTTGTGTATTGGCGTTGTATTTGCTATGTATTGACTAAGTAAATAACGTTTATTTTAGGAAAGTTATAAATAATTCAAGCCTTTACTTTGTTTTGGGAATTGGGGAACATAAATTTATTAAACTTCATAAACTTATATAAATTATATCATTTAAAATATATTTTAATTGATAGAATTATTTCAAAAATATTAATGCATATTCATATTGAGAACTTTACTGGATCTAAACTAATTATCGTTGATAATAAAATTTTGCTAATAATAATAGATAAGAGATTAAAAGAAAAGCGAAGATAGGAGAGTTTAAGGGTGTGTTTGCGGCAGTGGTGCAATGTCGCACCATAGTTTTTTTTAATTTATTTGGCAAAATTATGTTTTGTCTGCTTTCTCAGAAAACTGCAGCTGAAAGTTATATTTTCCTACTATACCTAGCTATCTATTGTGGTTGTTAGAACGTTACGGTCTGACTTTAAAAAAAAAATTTAATAGTTACCACAGTTTTTTGAACAATAGCTTCTTATTGAGCAGCTTCACAGCTGCTTCTTCAAATTACTGCAACTGTCCCAAAGAAACACCAAAAAGTGATATTACGGGATTTTCACTAAAACTACCAAAAAGTTTAAGATAAACACAATATATGATTGTGTCAAAGTGGGCAGATTTTAACTTCACTTCTTGTTTTTGGGTTTAGGTTTGGGTAGCACTACCTAAAATGCTACATTTGGGTAGTATAAATAACATTACATAATTACATAGGATGTGTCGCCAACAATTTTAGCAAGAATGAATCTAGATGCATTTTGATAGGGTATCATCCAAATTCGAATTCAAAATTATTTGGGTCTTGATTTAAGCAAGTTTAAATTCAAACTCACTGTTTTGACAAAATGAACCTAATGATATCAAAAGTTGTTCAATCTGAATCCAATCAAGCCCCGACCAAGTCGTTGAAGTATAATTTGATACTTTTGATTTTCAACTTAATGGTCAAATGAACTCCAAATTCAACATATTTATAGTTGAATGAGCATCTTTATGAGTGAAATTCAACAAATTTAAAATCTCTTAATTCCAAGGTCCTTAAAAAAACCAAATACTTAAAATAAAGCACATGTGAACAAGATTGGCATGAACTGTTCGATCAGGTGATTAGGAAAATTACACACCAAAAGATCAAAATACTTCTAAAAGGATATAAATAGGCCCCATGTCTTCATTGAAAGGAGGAGAAGAGAGCAAAAAGTTGAATTCTAGAGCTTGTCATGGAGAGAAGACCTGATGAGTAACCTCCTGCCTCAGTAACTGTCAACCACCGCAGACCACCTGCCTTCATGGCCGCTAGCCACTATCGACCACCGTCTTCCATCACCACCTATCGCAATCGACTAACAGTCATTATCAACACTGCTTGTAACAGTTGTAGCCAGACTACAACTGTTGTTGCAATTTCTAACACTTGTATTTTTTCAACAAGTGTAATTTTCATTATAAAATTTTAACCTTGATCACTTTATTGTAAGAGAATGGTGTACACTTGTACTTACACACATATAATAGATTACTTTGACTGGGTTAGGCCTCATAATTTTTTTCTTTTGGGGTTTTTTTAAATAAAAAATACTAGTGTTTCCACCTATTAATTTTATTTTATCTGTGTGTATTAGATCTTTGTGCAACATTAAAACGTTAAATTATCACCCCATCATCATGAAATTTTTGGGTACGTACCAACGTTTAACAAATACTAGTTGTAAATTATAAAAAATTAGCAAATTTGTAGCTTTCTATTTACAGTAATAACTTATAAAAATGTCAAGATAAAAAATATATTTAGAATATATTTACCAAGTGATGCTTCTTTGATGAGGTCCAGAATGATTTCCTTTTGAGCTAATGAATATATTTAGATGCTTGTGCTACATCAAAATTGAATTAATGTGCTAATTTAACAAATTTGTAGGCTTAGTGTAAGTTTAGCAAGTTCAAATTATAAATATAATGATCATGGATGTAATAAATGGGTAGAATAGACTTGATGACTCAAACTGACAAGATCATTGATAAGATCATCTTATCTTATGATGCCTTCAACCCTATGGTGAGTTAATTAAAATACTTATAAAATTACTTGAATTTGTTTCATAATTATAAAGGAGTTTCATTGACTCAACTCAGTTGAAATTGGGAGTGCATAAATTCCCAAACTTTGTCATCTCATTAAAAAATTTTTAAAAGATAATTAAAGAATAAAAAAATTAAAATTTTATCTTAATCGACTAATAGATTGATCATAAATGATTATGTGGATTGAACCTTTTTTTACATGTTTGCATCATAGAAGGAATTTATAAATATTATATTAAATTAGCTCATTTGAAGATTTTTCTCCTTTTTATTTATATTCTTCCTTAAATTTGCTTTGTAACCTTCTTCTTTTGTAGGCCAAGGTGAAAAACTTTGATGTCCTAAGACTTGATGATCATTCAAATGGAGAACTCATTTCTTTTATCTTAAATGAGTACAATAAGGAAATCCATAAAATTTTTAAAATATTGAATTAATGTAATGAATGGTGGAGATTCCATTTAGATTGAGTGTGGAAGCTTAATCATGGTTTTAATAATTATTTAAAAGCTAGGCCTCAAAGCCCACCATAAAGAAAGACTTATAAATATAGCTTATAGTACTTATGTTCAAATTTAATATATTATAATAGAATATATATATTATATATATATATAACACGTTGATGTGTAGAGTACATCTGATCTTCATTATTTTGCATTAGCCTATTTTTATGTTAATTTCATGCTTTTGGAATTTCTTTTTGTTTTCTTTTGCAAGATATAGGTTGGAAGATTGATAGGAAATCACAATAATAAAATTAACGATAAGAGTAGGAGTAGCGCATTGGCATCAAGTGAGCAGGGCTCAAGTGCCAGAAGTTCAACTTTGAACTATACAGAGGAAATGAAAAAGGGGAGCCAGACTTGTAGCGCCCAGGCGCTAACATCACAGCTCATAGGCACATGAAGCCCTAGATTAAGTGTGTGTGGAGAATAGAAAGACCAGAAAAGGAACGCCACATCTATAGCGCCCAAGCCCTACATTTCAGTGCTTAGGAAACACAATGCAATGCTTATGCATTGAGTTGCACGAATTGATGGTTTTAATGGTTCAATTGCATTGTTTCTCAAAGGAAGGGGCAAATTGGGATATATCAAAGCAATTATAAGTGTTTCAAGAGAAAATTAGTATCCCTTAACTTATGTGAGTGTGGGAGAAAATTATGAGGGGGAGTGTGTGAGGAATTTCTATAGTGAGTTGCTCGATCATGTTATTTAGTCAAATTCATTGGAGAAGAAAGTCTGGTGTAGTCTTTTAAAGGGTCTATTCTTTCCAGTTTTTAATTTATAAATCTAGTATTTTATTTATTTTTTATTAATGAAATGTGGTCTTGTTGTTTCAAAGCATGGATAGCACTTAGATTTATTTTTACTCCTTTGAATTGGTAATATAGAGATTTATTATTTAATTGTGTTATTAAGATATAATCAAATTGTATTATGGTGATGTTTTAACCTTCTACATTTAATTTACTCTCAACATGACAGTTGCTTTGTTAAATTTTTTGTGATCTAGTGCTGCTTAAGTAGGTTAGAATAACAATAAGGTTAAACACACTGATTTAGGAGAATATGAAAATTACTTCAAGGTTAGTGCAATTACGAAAGAAAATATGGGATCCTAGGAAAATATTACTTAATTTAGGAAACTAAATGATATTTTGATTTTTAAACCTTATTTGATCACCAAGGTCCAAGAAGAAATATTATTCATGATTTTTACTTTTAACCTGATCACTTAGTTAAACCTAGATTTTTAAAATTCAATTTAGAGGAGAACTTTTCACTTGATAGAAATCTCACTTAATTTTTCTTAATTTTTTTTTTGTTTTTTGCAAAAATTAAGAATAATAACTTTTAAATATCCAATAATTTGGACACTTCAAACTAGACTTAAAAGTAGTAGAAAATAACGTTTTTGTTTTAGAAAGTTAAGTTGGTCCTCATACGATTGACACACAAACTCAAATCTTTATATTACTGGAGTGAAATAAATTTACATGATTGTTGGTGCTCCACAACATTGTAGGCATTAAATTTTTAGTGTCTTTGTCGAGAACATTGTCAAATTTCAAGTTTAGGTAGGTTTTAGACTTAAAACATGTTGTGTCATATTTTTGACATTTTTTTTATTTTATGTGTTATTAAAATTCATGAATTTGTATTTTTTTGCTAGATTTAGGGTCACATTCTTGTCTGTTCTAGGTTTGCAAGCATATGTCCAAAATAAAAAATTTAGTACCTTTTGAGTCAAAAATTTAAAAAATAGCCCAAAAATTTAAAAAAATAAAAAACTATAAAAAAACACTTAAGGAGTATGCCAACCAAAATGTAGGGTAAATTCACTTGAGTATCAATCAATAACTTTACCATAGAAGCCAACTCATTTAAGCTCAATCCTACCATCATCCAAATAATTTAGTACAACAAGTTTAGGAGATCACTCACAAAAGACCCTAATTTTCACTTGGCAGTTTCTAAGAATTG